GTATGTAATGTATGTAATGTATATATGGTATGTATGTATGGTATGGTATGTATGTATGTATGTCTGTAATGTATGTAATGTATGTAATGTATGTAATGTATGTAATGTATGTAATGTATGTAATGTATGTAATAAATGTAAATGTAATGTATGTAATGTATGTAATGTATGTAATGTATGTAATGTATGTAATGTATGTAATGTATGTAATGTATGTAATAAATGTAAATGTAATGTATGTAAATGTAATGTATGTAATGTATGTAATGTATGTAATGTATGTAATGTATGTAATGTATGTAATGTATGTAATGTATGTAATGTATGTAATGTATGTAATGTATGTATGTAATGTATGTAATGTATGTATGTATGTAATGTATGTATGTTCGTATGTGGTCAAGGTACATGATGTATGTATGTAATGTATGTATGAATGTATGTAATGAATGTATGTAATGAATGTATGTATTGAATGTATGTATTGTATGTATGTAATGTATGTAATGTATGTAATGTATGTAATGTATGTAATGTATGTAATGTATGTAATGTATGTAATGTATGTAATGTATGATGTATGTATGCATGTATGCATGTATGCATGTATGCATGTATGCATGTATGCATGTATGCATGTATGCATGTATGCATGTATGCATGTATGCATGTATGCATGTATGCATGTATGCATGTATGCATGTATGCATGTATGCATGTATTGCATGTAATGCATGTAATGCATGTAATGCATGTAATGCATGTAATGCATGTAATGCATGAAATGCATGTAATGCATGTAATGCATGTAATGTATGTAATGTATGTAATGTATGTAATGTATGTAATGTATGTAATGTATGTAATGTATGTAATGTATGTAATGTCTGTAATGTCTGTAATGTCTGTAACGTATGTAACGTATGTAACGTATGTAATGTATGTAATGTATGTAATGTATGTAATGTATGTAATGTATGTAATGTATGTAATGTATGTAATGTATGTAATGTATGTATGTATGTATGTAATGTATGTAATGTATGTAATGTATGTAATGTATGTAATGTATGTTATGTATGTTATGTATTTTATGTATGTAATGTATGTTATGTATGTTATGTATGTAATGTATGTAATGTATGTAATGTATGTAATGTATGTAATGTATGTAATGTATGTAATGTATGTAATGGATGTAATGTATGTAATGTATGTAATGTATGTAATGTATGTAATGTATGTAATGTATGTAATGTATGTAATGTATGTAATGTATGTAATGTATTAATGTATGTATGTATGTATGTATGTATGTATGTATGTATGTATGTATTACACACACACACATATATATACATCGGGTACGACATGACAAGAACATCCTGGATGGCAAGTGCAAGCTTCTGAGGTCGTGATCGTCATTCCAGGCTGGGCTGCAAACTGTGGGACAAAGGGTGGGCTGGCGTCCGGTTTGGATTTGCCCCTACTTAGCGCCCTGTTGTTATCCACACCGTTTGTCAACTTTGTTTTGGAGGCCTGGGCTGATATACAAATCAATCGAAAAACATCAAGACACATCAAACAAATTCAAACCAATATACACTATGTATAACATCATCAGATATTCACAAAATATATCAAACGGAAAGAATTTCAGGCTCTTGCAATGTTCTGGAACTTGAACGGCCCAGGCTTGGGGCCCAGTCACGCTCAAGAGGAGCCGGGGCCGGGCAGCTGGGTAGTTTCCATGCACATCCGTGTAGCAACGCGAGTCTCACCTAAGCTATAGCTGTTTGCAAGGAGGGCGGCATAGTTGACTCCTGAGATTTGCACTTTGTTCTGCAGTCCGTTTCTGCCAATGTTCAATCCTGCGCGGTCTCAGATGTATTTGAGACCAGAAAAGAGGAAAGAAGCGATCATTGCATGATGTCTCAAGAAATGCGGTTTGCGAGGATTGAAGGATGTTGAAGGGGAAGTAGTTGAATTTTTGAAAATCATGTGCAGTTCCCGTGAAATGTGCAGTCCATTGAGGCCATAGAAGAGATGACAGAGACGACCGGGATGAAGTTGGCAAGAGGGTGCGCATCTATCACTGTTTGATCAACTTCAGCTGAATTTGAACATAGAGGATTATAGGATCGTATTTGTATCATATTAGGTTTATCTGAGAGTTGGGCATCCCTAAATCCATTGAATAATCATCAACATATCAACATCATCAGTTTCCCCGAGTTCCCCTCGGGCCACATGGCAGGTCGTGTCTCTAGATGACATTGTCGGAACCAATGAGAACATCTGCTTGGGCAGTTCCCTCAGCCAGTGACGATGTCAGACTCTGACTGCCTGGCTCGTCAAAAATGTTGATTTTATGAGTTTGATTCATTTTATCCATGATTACAAGATATTACAAGACATTACAAGCAAGATGCCAAGTGGTCCAAGTGGATATCTTTGAGTATCGTGTGATTGTTTGCCCTGGACACCTGCTGGAAAAAAACTGACACTGACACTGGCCCTGCTCAGATGATAAATTCTCAGATGGTTCCGGCCTGAGTGACTCCGAGCAAAACGAGCAAAACGAGCAAAACGTGAACATGAGGCTAGTTAATTCACACCCCATTACTTTTAGAGTAACATCCCATTGACATTCCATTAACATCCCATTAACATGAACTCAAGGAATGCTTCGAATATCCTGAGGACGTCCGCTCACAGAGCTTGTGGACCTGCTGCTGCTTGGAGAGGCAGGACGGCAGGACAGCACCAGCGACTCACCATGGAGCCGCTACCCCATTTATATAGTGGGATGGGTTATAGCTCTCGATAGCACCCATTAATATCCATTAATGATGATAATCCGGTAAACCCAATAATAAACTTGATAAACCATCCCATTCACCAACCATGACTGGGGATCATTTTACATCCGAAATGGTGGTATACCCAAGAAATCTATGTTGGGGATGGTTTACGATTAGCTTTGCCACATCAGGGCAGCTTCGGGCATGGGTCAGGGTGACAGGAGGCCCTGATCCAGACGCATGAGCGAAGAGTTGAGTTGCAGGGAATCGCCCGCCATTCGGCTTTGTCGGCTTTGTTTGCCAAGTGCCTCTTTAGATACCTTTGGGCTGTTGATTGAGAATGTCTGAGACTTACATTTGAAGTTGTTGCCTTGCTAGCACTTACTGCAAGCCGAATATCATCTGCAGAGCATGGCAATCTTCCCATCCCCCAGATGCACAGTCGCCAAAAAAACATGGCACCCTGTGATACAACTTTTGGCCTCTTTTGGTCATGGCTCTTGCCGCTTCCAATATGTTGTTTGCTCGGTCCTAGCAATGTCTTGGGGCAAATGGCTTGGCAAACACGACGTCCACATCACTGGAGCAGCGAAGGGCAACCGCCGTGCAGACAAGATCTTCGACCATGGTCCGAAGAAGGCAGGGTGGGTCACAACTCACAACTTTCTTTTGCTGTCATTCCTGAAAATGCCAGGTTTTTTTGACAAATTCCAGCAGAGAGCATTGAGTCCATTGGTGCTTGTTGACTGGCAGATCTGCAAACCAATGTACTCAGCTGGTACATTCTGCAATTCGAGGGGCTTGTGCCCTTCCCAGCCCCTTCCCAGCTGGCAGGTATGGCCGTTTGCTCCTACTTCTATGAAGCAATGCCAGAGGGCACATCGGTAGAACGTCTGGAGCGTTTTGAGAGCCAGGAGCTGCTGGGTCGAATGGGATTTCCATGGATTTCCGTTGGGTTTAGGATACAAAAAGAAGCCACTTTCAGATACTTTCAGTGGGTACCGGCTTGTTTGATTGAGTTATATCATATACGTAGTTATATCATATTGATCATATTGAATTGATGGGAATTTATTTGGGAATGAATGGTCCCAAGATGCCGAATTTCTTCAGATTTCTTCATCTCGCAGAAGTCATGACATGGCAGGCGAGCTACCTGCCCTTCGCAGCCTACCGCCAAGCTGTGGCTGCCGAGCTTCAAAAAGATGTGGAGCACGTGGAGTTGTGGCTCTTCCACGGCACGGAGCCGCGGCGAGATCCGATGATATCCGATGTCTGGGTCTGATCCAATGGGAATAGGACGAATAGGTTGGTGAAGAGTTAAACATAGTTAAACCATGTTAAACCAATAATGTTGATCCATTACCAATAGCTGGGTTAAACCATGTTAAACCACTCAGCAAGAATTCATGCTTTTAATAATTGGTAACGTTGCCTTGACCAGTTTCTAGCTGTATGCCCGGCCAAGGATGCTGTGAACGCTGTCTTGGACAACGGATTCCGCATCAGCCATGCAAACCTGGATGTACGACACAACCGCTATGGTGTAGGACCACAGAGGGCGATGGGTAGTCAGTGTTTGGTTCGGGGAACAGCTGGCCGTTGCTTTAATTTCTGGAGGCTAGTTAGTCTATATTAGTCTTGTTTGGTTCTTGCTGCTTTGACTTCCATTTATTCCATTCTAGAAACAAGATGCTAGGAGTATACTTCGCCCGCGACCCCCGGCTTGCGCACTACTTTGCCCAGATGAGCAGAGGCTCCATGCATGCATTTATACACAGTATATATATAGAGTAAATATATTATATAATGTTATCACCTAGCTTCTTCAGAACTTTTCGTGGAAAGTCTGGTCCCTGTCTGCAGTTTTTTCTTCAACCACAACCTGAAATATGCAAGAGGATGCACTTCCAATACCCCCATAGGGATTATAATGCTTCACAATGTACTACTGAAGTTCCATTTCCATCTCTATCCGTTTTTGACTTGGCGCGTCATGCCCATCAGGCGTGTTACATCGTGTTGCATTGCCCAGAAAGAACTGCCCGACTGAGGTAGGACCGCCACTTCGACAACGTCACAGGCAGTGCGTCATGCGGATGTGACATGATGTGACTAGTGACTGGATCAATTGCCATGATCGGTGCGGTGGTTTCATCAAAGGCTGGTACTAACCATGCTGAAAGATGCTGAAAGTCGAGATGATGGCCATTATATGGCAACATGCTGTTCGTACAGCACCCTTTTTCAATTCAAATTTCTGAGGGCTTTTGTGCGCAGCAGACATTGGTAGGCGTGTGCTTACAGTAAGCCCTAAAAAGATAGAGCATTGAAATCCCCGATCACCGATCAACATCCTCTATGTTCTTATTCTTCGCAGGGGTCACACAAAAAGATGGCACGCAGTTCCCAGCTCTCTCACGGAAGGTGATCTTGGCGCGCGTGGTGGTGGGTCGTTGTGCTACAAAGGCTGCTGTCAAAGAGCAAAGGCAACTCCTCCGTCCGGAGCACCGTGAGCCACCCACAGGTGCTAAGAGCGGGTGGGATTTCATGTTGGGCTTGCCTAGCATTTTTTGGGGGAACATGATTCATGATGAAGAACCACTGGATTTAAAATTCAGAGGTACCCTATTTTGAGATAGACACCATTTGTTTTTTCTGGCTGGGAGTGGGCGGTCCAGGCTTCCACTCTTGCACCAGTGATTCTTTGCCTGGCCGCGAAGTGATCGTCTTTCCGGGGAGCCCTGGCACACCAGCATATCCGGCATACGTGGGATGCCAAGTCGATGACAAAAAAACGGCTGGAAACAGCAGAGAGATGCAATGAGATGCATAGAAAATATATGAACATATTAGATATATTAGAAAATGAGATGGATAGGTATAGATAGAACTAACAGCCTACATTAGCTGTAGTCACTTGTTGTCACAACAGCGTCCACAAACGTGACACCATGTGGAGCTTGACAAAAAACACACTTGCTTCTTCCACTGCATGTCACTTTCCTTCCAAGGTGATCACTTACAAGTGCAGCTCAGCGCCCAACAATCCATACCGTGATCCTGATCTTCTCCGTGTCGACTTTGAAGATCGTGGCGGCGCGAATATTTTTCAACGATACAGGGCGCATTTTCGAAAATGCTTGAATTTTCCAAAAGCTGCAAATACTCCAGTCACCCGTAGAAGTTCCTTTCCAACTGAGCTGGAAAAACTGGAGGTCCGAAGGGAGCGCCCATCTACGTGTTCTCAGCGCTACCGACATGCAGAGTCCAAGATGGATGGCCCTGCCAAAGCGACAGATGGTGGGAAGCATACGGCAGATCGCAGTGCGAGGTCGGCACCCAATACGCCACGTTTGACGCAGAGCCACTTGGCCAAGAAAAATGCCAAACACAAAGAGGCTGGTGGCAAACCTGGAGTACCCAGAACAAGACGAGGTCGAAGAGCCTCATCCCCAGCAGTTCCGCAACAGGATGTCTCGGTTCAGGACGAACCACGTGCTGCTTCAGCGGGACAAGAAGTGCCAGTGAGGACGTTGTGGATTTTTGACGCAGAGCACGCCGACTCAGGCCAGTCAGATGTCAGATTGGAGGATCCACAGTCGAGCAAACCCGAGCCAGAGGAGCCACTGCCTTTGAGTTGTCAAGCCCGGCGAAGGTCAGGATTTGCTTTATCAGAAGCTGTGACTTGGAGAGCAGCAGCCCCTCTACCTGTTGTGGCTTGCCGCTTGGCAGCTGCAACCGTTCCTGATAGAACTGCCGTCATGGCCCTGGGTGGGGCAGATGCCTTGGGCTTCTCCCTTGATGCTGCGCACATCTTTGAGAACTCCAAGTGGACGGCCTTGCCACCTTTACCCAGCGGTCGGCAAGCGCTGGCAGCTGCGAGTCTGGTGGGTGGAGTTTGTGCCCTGGGAGGTCGAAGCAACAGCAGCTGTGGCAGCGCAACGGTCGCTGCTGATTTCTTTGATCTGGGTGCCGAAAGGTGGCTGGATCTTCCTCCTTTGATTGTGCCACGCGCATTCCACGCTGCTGCCGCATTGGATGGTAAGATCTATGTTTTGGGAGGTATGGATGCTGATGGTCGGCGATTGGCCAGCGTTGATTGGCTTGACCCTCGCGAAGGCAATTTGGCCAGGAATCACTTGGAATCATGAGGCTGTGTATCTCTAAGGTCTGTGTTAAAGCTTCAGCTGCCAAATCAATCATTTCCGTTGCTCTTCTTGCAGTTGAAAAGCGGTCCATAGAGTTGTGCTGGCAAAGATTGTGCCAGAAGGCCAGAATCATTTTTTGTGTACGTTCATTATAGCAAAATTAACAAAAAATAAAATGTAACACGTCACATATGATATATATATATATATAAATGATACTCATATTATATGATTTTGCCTTGTTTACGGTTTGCATGCCATAACATGTTCTCCCATCGTCCCATTGCAGGTCGCTGGCAAAGTGCTCCCAGCCTACTGAGCCCACGGAGTGCACTAGCAGCCTGCGCCCTGAACGGTTTATATGCTGTGGGGGGCTTGGACCTCAATGGAGCTACGCCACGAACCGAGCAACTGAGTTGCATAGCCTGCTGATGCCTGCTGATGCATGCTGATGCTTTCTGTTGCAGTCTGTTACAGCTCCCACCTGGAACAGAATGGAGCAGCTGAATTGCAGAATTTGGCTGCCTTTGTATCTTTGTCAGGTATCTGAATGTGCGACTCGGGGCTTGGATTTCGATGCCTTCAATGCCAACTGCCAGAGGAGGTGCGCATGACTCGCCCAGCCAATAAGAAGCCATGATAGCATATGGTAATATAATATATGGTAACTAATCATGGTGGTATGCCTGGCCTGATTGATTCTGACTTTGCTTAATGTTTTATCATGTTTTATCCTTTGTTGGAAGTTGGAGATTTCACGAGAGGCGAATCGTAGAGGGACATAATTGCAAGCTTAGTTGTCATGCACGGGAAGAAAACGAGGAGGTTTATGATGACAGTGCTTATGATGCTTATGATGCCAAGAGGGATCAGATGCAGATTGTGGTGCTGCTGAGGTGTCTCGTAATGGTGATGACAACGACGACCATGCTCATGATCATGATCACAATGATGATGATGGTGATGATGCTGCTAGTGGTAAAGACTGGGCATGACCGAACCCCTGTCACAACCGCAGGTTTGGCGGCCAGTTCATTTGGAGGTCCTCACGGTGTGCTTGTTGCCATTGGTGGTCGGCGAGGCTCGTGGTCATGCTGCGGGTGTGGGTGACAGAAATAGGCACAACTAAGGCAACATATGAATATGAATAATTATATATATATTATATATATATAACTATAATTTCTAAATTATATATCTTCCTCTATATATACAGATTTCCGGTGATTTCAGAGATGTCTTTCTGTGTACTGAAGCCGAGCGATGAACAATTGCTTGAGATAGCGATGGAGAGAGAAAGAGAGAGAGAGAGAGAGGGAGAGAGAGAGGGAGAGAACAGATTCTCGACAAACTATAGAAACTGGTAGTGACTGGCATTGTTGGTACGGTTTGATTTGTTGATCACTTTTCGAATCTACAGTATGTAGGTCATTCAAAGGGGGCTGTTCAAATTACAAATTTCTGGTCCCTTTGGCGACCTTGGATGATCCAAACACCGACACGATTGGATCGTCCTAGGTGCTGGTCTCAGTGCAGTGGAGCGTTTCCTTCCACGGAGTGCGTCTTGGTCTTCGATAGCACCGCTCCCACTGGCACGCAGCGCTTTAGCGGCGGCACCGCTTGATGAGCAGAGCTTGTGTTTTGGCAGCAGGGGTTGGTGATGTTTGGTGATGTTTGGTGAGCTTGAAAGTTGTGCTTGTGCCATAATTTTGTGCCTTGGAAGCTGAAGATTTTTCGTGCTCAGGTTGGTGATGGGGGGACTTGCTGATACGGCAGGTGCCCTCAGCACAGTGGAACGCTTCGAGTTGCGTCAAAGAATGACCTAGAGGTCATCATGGGTTGCAGGGTGTCACAAGATTAGTGAGGATGCGAGGAACGCTCCATCTTCCAGACTACATGGTGGCCTCGCATGGCAAGCTCAAATGAAGAGAGCGGTCATGAAAAGGTAGCAGTGTGGTAGCAGCACTTGTGGTCCTGTGGTCATTCCATCGGACCCCAGGTTGCTGCCGTTTGGCAATCAGAGCAGCTACAAGATGCTACAAGGCCCTCTCGGTGCAAGCCATTCCAAGGACGACAAAGGGACCTTCTGTCGCCCTGGCTGTGCAAGCCTGGTGGGCTGTCCCAATGTGCCTCGCGTTGATGTGACACGGAAAAAAGGAGCGGCTCGAGCACGGCAAGGGAATCCAAGGGATGCTAAGGGCTAACCACTGGTATCTTGATTCTTGTGGATGCAGTCACTCAGAAAGCCAGTCAGCTTGTCAGGTAGATCCGCTCAAGGATGACTTCCTGATGCTTGAATGTACAAGAGTTGAAGGCCGGAAGTGATCACAGCAAACCACACTTTGCATTTCAATAGATCCAATTCTCAGCAGCCTTTCCAACAACTTGAGGACTTGCTCATTTCAACCACGCAGCAAGGAATAGTAGCAGCAAAATCCTGAAGACACATGGGTTTGTCTTCAAATAGGCCACCCCTTAATTCACTTGTTAATGATCCCCATTAGAATAGCCATTTTGGAATGCTCCGGACTGGTGGCCGAAACGAGGAAGATTACGAACGGCGGACAACAAGCGATTGGCCTGCCCCTGCCTTTGCCATTTTCGGACATATCTACACAATTCTACACATGCACGGAAGTTTGAATTTTCGCAATCCTTTTTGCAATGACTTTGGTGGTTCGTATTAGTTCGTTGTGTGATATTAATTATCAATGACACAGCCAAATATCTCAATCAAATATCTCAACAGTGCCTATTTATTCAAATATTTTCTGTATTTCTTTGCCTTCACAGTCAGACCCTTGCCGAGCCTGGGTGTGAAGTTGACAATTGGACTAATTGCACCAACGAACCCTACGATTGGACTCAATGCTTGAACTGGCTGCCTTCAGTCGTGTTTATTGGCATCGGCCCAAGCTTTTTCAGCATTTGATACACTTCGGAACAGTTTATTCTTGTTTACTTTTCCTCAATATATGTACCTCCTATTTTTTTTGGTACATATCTGTGCCAGTCTGGTAACGCTCACAGTGTTCTCTCGGCCGAGGTCTTCGAGAATGGGCCAGGAGAATCAATCGTCCGGTGGACATCAGAGTGGAGGTGATGCCTCAGAGGGTGTCGAGGTGCATCGCACAAGGTGGTGCCCCAGTTCTCGTTGATTTGTAACTGGATGAACTAGGAACTAAGGCCATCTAAGGCCATTATAATCCCTGGGATATAATATGATATAGTATGATATAGATGTATCATATTATATCTACAGTATAGCTAGATGGCGGTTATACACCAATTTGGCTAACTATGGGGCACCACCTTGTACGTTATGCTAGATTTGGATGATGTATGCACTGCATGGTGCATTTGTAGATCATGTGTAGCTGAGTGCGTTCTTTCCGAATCGAGCAGACCAGCTGAGGTGACGGAGACCTATGGCGAGAAACACTACGTTTCAGAAGCATGGCTGCAGATTACCTGTTCTCTTCCTTCGCCCTCGCTGTTGAAACTGCACTAGCGTGACGGATGAGTATTGTGTGAAATGGCTCTTGCACATTGCACCCAGAACCTGACAGAAGCGCAGACTTGCTTGTTCCACAATGGATGGAGGGCTTCACAATGAGCTACCTCAGTTGGGATTGAGGTAGGGTTGTCGTAAATCTGTCCACGTACAATGAACTAGGAAGGTTGAGCCCAGGCGATATGTCAAGAACTTGCCTTTGTTTCCTTGCCGAGGCGTTCCTGCAGCACTACACCACGGAGAGTGGAAATCTCCCACGAGTGCGGGATGGCAGGTCGGGTCATCGGCACCTCAGCTGGCTGGCTTCATGGCTGCTCAGTCGAGCAAAATGGACCTGTTTTGGCTAGGGCCTTAGGGCAGAGTTTGGTGCTTGCCTTGTACATCTTGTACCGTTGGGCAGGCCTCACTACCACCAAGAGGATGAGGACCGAACAAAAGCATCCAAAAGCTGCGGATGGCTTTGAAGGTGTAGGATCTGTAGTCCCCACACTGTGCGAACAAGCACATAAGTTGAAAACGGAAGAGAACGGACCTGGCTTTGAGAAGACTTCACTGAATTCATGCCCGAACGGAATCACACCATACCACGCCCTAGGACCGTGGGCTAGATCGACGGAGGCCATGTGGCTTTTAGTCGAGTTGAGCCATGGCCATGTCGAGCAATTGCCAGGCCCATCGGCGCCATAGGGCGGAAACGACCGCGAGCGGGGCAAAGGACGATGCTATGGGATGCGATGAGATGCCCACAGGGTAATTCCAGCTGAGATATCGAGCGGCGCAATCATGTCGCAGTGGCTCAAAGAATGTGTTTGTTGAAGTAAGATTCTCTTGAACCATCTTGAACCATGTGATGCGGAAGGGCTTGGGGGACCCAAAACTGCTGGACTCTCGCCCAGCAGCTGGCATACAGATCCAGTGGACGAGCAAGTGCCCAACTGCGGCCTCCAATGGAGGGTCTTGAAAAAGTTAAGAATGGAAAAGGCGACATGGACATCTTTCAAACCAAGTATCAGTCACTCGCATAACATTCGGCAAAGGTAGGAAAAACATGCACTTTTCATCACTTTTCCATATCTTCTGATTTCTTAAACTCAATCTCCCATGTAACTTGAGTCAAGCTGTGATTCTGTTTGTGAGTGTAGTAGGATGAGGGGAGGACGATTCGTTCCCCAAGTCCGGGAAGGTCAAGCAAGGTCGCAACTCGTCTCGACAAAAAAGTCGTGATGGAGAGGGAAAGTGGGCGAGAGAGAGAGAGAGCCCGCCGCTGCGCAAACATTGAATAACCACTCTAGCAATCCCCAAGAAAATATCGTAAAACAGTAAAATCATGCAAAAATAGTAGTAAATTGATGAAACTTGCATGCCATTTCGGGGGTGCTGTAGCTTACACACAACGCAGGCACGGACCCATTATAAGACAGTGAGGTAGTGCAGCGTGCACGTTTTCTGCTGCTTGAAGACTGGCTGCAGAAAGCTGGCTCAAGCATGCTCCAGTGCAGGCTTTGCAAAGAAAGACACCCGAAAATATCAGGCTTTAAGCGTTTGAAAACAGGACGGTCTTGATCGAAGTGCTTTTTTAAGGACTAAATATAGACCGCAAGAGGTGCAGCCATAGAAGCAACTTTTAGTTGAGAATGTTATTGCTATTTGGACACCTGTGATTTTGATGCGTGAGGCGACGGTGATTCACGGGGGGCAGTTGCACTTGTCGCCAAGGGTGTAGCGGAGTGGGAAGTGAGAACTCAGCTTGAACCACCATGTCAACGGATTGGTCTAAGGGAAAATCTACAGGAAACCATGGAGTTTACCCCAAGTATAATCTATATAGTAGTATAATGTATATATATATATAAACAATTATCAAATATGTCTTACCGGTCGATTTTTCTTTCCTGCAATAAACCACCTCCGGGAATGTTCGCAGGTGAATATCCTCATCGAAAACCTCACGGGGCATGAGCTCAAGCTCTCCCGCGCCTGCATGCCCAGGGCATCACTTGGCCGACTTGGCCACCATTTCCGGGGCAAAGAAGTCCACCATGGATGTCATGTTCTGTAGGTATGATGTGATAGCAGGTAGGCAGGAGGTAAGAAGATCAGGATCTGATAGATACTGTATGTATGGAAATATATGGAACTTTCAGAAAAGCATTTATCCCTACATACTGTATTGTGGGGATGGTGGCGGTGGGTGTGCGTATGGTGGTTTTTGTTTGTGGTTGTGGTAGTTGTATCTTATACATGATGGCAATGGTAGCTGCCATGGATGCACCATCAAGTTCGTGAAGAGTTGTGATGGTTTCCCAGTACAATATTCGTTGCTAGTAGTTTCTAGCCTGACTAGCAAACGCTGACCGACGCTAGGACAAAACACTGTGCCCCAACAATTAAGGCCTGTCATGCTTGACCATGGCACGGCAAAGGTAGACCCAAAGCAAGACAAAGCAAGCCCTTGCATAGGCACATTACAAACATGTTTTTTCGCATGTGTTCCCGGCGGGCCATTGTCGCCAGAGCCGCATGGCACCCGAAAATGAAGGCAACCCTCTCACCACCAAGAAAAGGGAATTCGTCACAGCCACACATAAATACGGCCACTAGTCTGGGGATGTCTGGGGCCTTTTGCGGAAACGGCCGCAGATGTGTCGTGCAATGACATGACACGGTCACTGACGGTCACTTTTCGACGCTACAGGTCATTAAGGCAGAAGGAAAAGCTAAAGTCAGTGCTCCGGAGGCCAGACCAAAAAATGAATGCAACATGAGTAAAGCTGGAAGACTGATGGTGCCAAGTCTGTCCTGGCAGGTGCTTGACAGGGCGTGCAAAATTTGCTGGGTGGGAGCTTTGGCTGCAGTTCCTGGAGAGTCTGCGTCCGCAACTAACGATCTCGAGTCATTCACACACAGTACAAGTAGAAGGAATACATAAGCACTTGAGGCCAGCAAGCTACAACAAGAGTTCCAGCTGACATGCTTATTTGGGCATGGCAAATGTACGAATTCGGGAAAAATCTGGCTGAAAAGTCTGAGGAGAAACTCAAGGCCACAGTTGCTTGGCTAAGATGGATGAGGGCATCGATTGGAGCCCAGTTTCGAGCACAGTGACTTCTGCACGATTTCTGTCAGTTGGAGGCACTGGTTGTGCCCTTGCCCTAGAGTTTCACTCACAAACGAGGCTGGAGCTTAGTTTGATCGGTGGAGATTAGACAGAGATAGCTGACTGCCCACCATGTCAGATGCTTCTTTGTTGCAGCACGCCTTCCCGGACCCTCAGGCCTCAGATTTCCACCAGAGTTGTCGTGCAAACAAAACAATTACTTTCTTGGAGTGATCCCCGCCCTGACACATTGTTCTGACATAGTTTCTGACATAATTACCATTTGGGTATATGTCCCCCATGACCAATCACGAATGGACCGCAGATTTCAAGGCTTGCTCAATCAAGCCTTTATGGATAGGCCCCGACCAGTTGCTCTAGGACTCTAGGTGCTGCCGGAGGATCATTAGGGACTGCCATTTTAGGCCTTTTGACTCAGGCCGCTTTTCCCGAAAGACGATTTGTGGAACCTCCCATCTGTGTCTGGCCTGAGTTGCCACTGCCTGAACCTTTGATCAGCTTCATTGAGGATCGTCATTTGATCTGTTTTGGGGTTGGCCTTGCTACAGGGATCTGCTTTGGACCAATACTGGATATCTGCTTGGTGCTGCGGGAGCGCTGGAGGCGCTTTGTGGTCAACCGGCTGTTTGGACACCCTGCTCCTCCGCATCGGCCTCTTCACAAGGTCATTTCCTGAGCTACCAGAGCACTCCACCCTACGTGAATTCTTTGCTCCGTGAGGTTGAGGACTTGAGGCGAGAGGTTAGTGTCCTGAGCGAAAAGCTTGATTTGGTTCTTGGTTTGCTTAGGAGCGACAAAGGCAGTATTGGGAGTTTTGAATTGTTTGAGGGGGAACCCCAGGGTCCTAGAGAAGTTAGCCAACCAGCAAGTCGCTGTGCAGCAGAGCGCTTCTTCTAGCCCATCTCTTACTGGCGTTCAAACTTGGGAAGAGCGCGAGAAGATCAGCCGAGAAGTTGGAGCTTATCTAGTGCGAGCTCTCTCTGGCCAACACCGTGGAAGCTCTGGACGGGACAAGATCAAGCTTGGAAGCCGGCTCTACATCATTGTCCGAGATTTCATCGGCAACGTCCATGTGAGCCCAGTGCGAGTGGTTTACCGTTTCTCTGAGGTCAAGCAAGCCTGCAGCCGAGGAGGAGATTGGGGTGATTCCATTTTTGTTGGTTTTCCTTCTCAGCGAGAAGGCAAAGTTTGCGTAGGCATAGCCAGTGCCGGATTTTCCTGGCCTGAGTCTGCTTGAGCACGATGGCGGACTTGGATGGAGCCGAAGCTGAAGAGCCTGCGCTCCAAGATTGCCTGGTCCTGAAGGGGACAGTTTTTGACACGCACTACGAAGTTGGCCAGCTCCCAGTTGGGGACGGCAGTTCCTTTTGTTCAGCCATTTTGGTTGGAGAAGCAGACGAGAGGTTTGTCGTCTGCGTACCATTAGCAGTATGGTCGAAGCGAGTGATCAGTCGCCTGCTGCCCGCCAAAGCTTTGGCAAAGCCTATTGCATGCAAAGTAGAAGCCTGCAACGAAGAAAGCAGGGAAGTCTCAGAGAATGGGAAAACACTCAAAGTTTGGGTAGGCCTTTTGTCACCAGAGCTCGAAAAGCAGCTTTGGATTTTGTTCGGGTCGAACCACCAGACTATGCCTTCGGGGTTGGAGATCTTTCAGAGCCCCTCCTTCCTTCAGTTCCTGCTCTTGCCGAAGTTTTGTCAGAGAGGTTTGCTTACCAAAGCGCTGTAGAGTCACACGATGCGGAAGCCACCAGAAGTCAGGGAGAAGGAGATCGGCTAGATCGGCTGGAAGCTTCACTGAAAAAACGTTGCAAGAAGGCCTTGCCGCCGCCCTTGGCGATGGAAGCGCCGCAGTCAGAAAGCCTGCGCTTGTTGGAGGCGAACGTCGACCAGCCGGACCAGGACAAGGACAAGGCCCTCGTGTGAGATTGGTCCTCAAGTCGAAGTACCTCCTCCTCCTCCTGGTTTAGGCTCTCGTCAAGGACTCGATGTTTTGGACCCAAATGTAGTCAGGTCCGCTCTAGCTGCTGGAATTTCAGAAAAGCACTTGCAAGAGATGGCAGGTCTCCTTCGCAAGCACCTCAGCGCATGGAAGGCATCCCTCGCACCAGGCCTCGGGACAACCCAGGATATGCCCTGGACGAATCAGCAGAAGAGGACGATAGCTTGGGGGTGGATGCGGAGGATCTGGAATCTCTCTCTCAGACAGCAGCGAACCCAATGGAGAAGGCCATCGTCCAGCTGACACGAGTTTGCACTGCCCTTGCGAAGCCGAGTGCCAAGAAGAGCAACACTATAGAGCAGCTTCTGGACGGAAGCGGCCTCGAGAAGGTGGGCGACGGATTTGGGTCAACAGGGGCTCGAAAGAATGCCATTGCCCTCAGAGCTCTTCGGCGCTGCTTGGTGGATCAGCCCGAGTATATCTACAGTATATATTGTAGAGAATGCGATGGCCTTGGATTTTCAAAGCAGAGCTCTTCGGCCAGGGGAGCCCCTCCAAGCAGGCACCGTGCGTGGGTGGCTCGAAAGCCGCTCCCGCATCACCAATCATCAAGCTCATGTGCGATGGGTGTGGGCTGTGGGAGCCATTTGGGATGCCATGCCCTTATCCAGAACAATGTGAAGGAGGCCAGAGCGAGATGCGCTCTGATATGGTTGCTGCTGCCGATCAGACATCAATCGACGCTGGCTCGTGGGTTTTGTCAGGTGTGGCTCTCTTGGAACCTCCACCTCCCTTCCACAGCTTCGCCCCTCACCAGAGCCCCACCCCCAAGAGATGAACATTCATCTCTATTGGATCCAAGGTGGGTGGAGCTCTTCCTGAGTCATGTCAAAGAGATGGACACTTACCAGGAAATGAAAAAGAAGCTGGCCAGAGGAGGAAGCAGCAGTGCGGCGCCCCGAGCCGATGTCGAGGCGAAAGCAAAACCAAAACCCAAAGCAAAGAGCAAAGGGAAAGGAAAGGGCAGAGGAGCCGATGCCGAGGGCGAAGCCCCAGCCCAGCCTTGATTTTGGGCGAGAAGGGGGCCGAAAAAGCCCACCCTTTTTCCAGCGGTGATGACCGCTTGGACAATCCGACAATTAGAGTCCCTGGTGCCCGTGCAAGCAAATATGTAGGGCAACTTTTTGGCCACGCACTGTTGAGACATTTGGTTCGCAGCTGCTCTGGACTGGGATGTTTTGCACGTTCTCTTTTTGGCCGTTTCGACCTGCACACGGGTCATACAGAAGCCGCGACAGGCTGTCTCCCGATGCCTCTGCCCTACCCAGAAGTCTTGAGAGGAGGGAACCATGGTGAAAGCATTGAGCTGGCGCGCAAGAAGCTCATCAACTGCATTGTCATTGTCCTGAACTACTTGCACTTAGGAAGGCCTGTTTCTTGGCCGGCGGAGTGCCGTTTGGGGCAGAGGCTGCGAAAAGCTCAATGGGAGAGTGTCCGAAGGTTTGAGGGCTTCTTGGAAGATTGGCTCATTTGTGACAGCATTGGTCCTGAAGAAATGGGAAGGACAGCTCAGAAAGTTGAGTCTATCGAAGACACCCTGCTGGCTCGAAGAGATGGGGAAGAAGTTGCGCACTGACACTGAGGGTGCGAAATACTTTGGCGAGAAAGCCGACAGCAATCATGGTCAAGCAAATCACAAAGATGCTGGTACAGTGTGCGGACGCCTGGAGCGCCCAAGTTTTAGCATTTTCAAGACTGTGGAAGCCGAGTGCCTCAAGTTTGTAGGCACTCCCTCCTTCAATCCTGTGCCATTTTTGGATGCGTCAAGCGCTGAGATTTACATGCGCCCTCTGGAACTGAGTCTCAGCCCTGCGGCCTATCAAGGGCCTGTGCCCTTTGTCCAAGTGCACTGTTCTAAGGAGGAGAAGATGAAACTCTACAGCCTCTTGGATTCTTGCAAGCGGCTTGGGCTTCACCGAGAGTCTGAAGTGCGCACCAAGTTCAGCAATGGTTTGTTTTCTGTCGTGAAGTCGCTGGATAGAGATCGGCTCATACTTGATAGCCGACCTGCAAACCTGTTAGAAAGAGGAGAGCAACGCTGGATCAAGAGCTTAGCGTCAGCTGAGAGCTTATGCAAGTTGGTCATTCACGACTGGCATGTCACTGCATCAGGTATATAATGATCTCAGAGATTTTTACTACTTGTTTGAAGTGAGCCAAGAGAGGAGCCGCCGTAATGTCCTTGCTGGCGCTGTGAAAGTTGATGACGTGCGGGGCTTTAGCTGTTTTTCGTGCGGGGCTTTAGCTGTTTTTCAGAAGCGGGAGCCTTTGTACGGCTCTCTGGCCACTCTTGCTATGGGTGACTCTCAAGCTGTTTCTTTGGCGCAGGCGTGCCATGTTGGCATGTGCTTGAAGTCAGAGCTGGTCGAGGCAAATCAGCTCCTCACCCTCTCTGGTCCTCTTCCAAGAGCTGACAACAAGGTTGGAATCATTATTGATGATTTTGTTGTGTTGAGCACGGTCAAAGATGGAGAAACCGAGCCAAGCAGAGGCGCCAACCTCAGCGGCAAAGTGGAAGAGTTGTACAAGGAGGTCGGTTTGATACCTCATCCTGAGAAGGCTTTTCGAGATGAAGAGAGGAGCACCTTCTGGGGCGCTGACTTTGATGGAAAGCGAGGTCTCATCAGAGGCTCACTGAAGAGGGCCATACCTTTAGCTTGGATCCTTTTGCGAGTTGCGGAGTTGGGAGTCTGCAGTGTAGAACTTCTTCAGACTCTCAGTGGCTCCTTGGTCTCCCTCATGCTCTTTAGGCGCCGTATGCTCTCCCTCCTTGACATGTTCTTTGCAGCGACTAGGGGAAGAAACGGAAATGATGTGGTGCAACTCTCAAAGCGTTTGGTGAGCGAGATGCTGGTTTGTGCGACTCTCCTTCCTTTAGCAGTGACAAATCTGCGTGCCGAGGTGTCTGGGCGGATTACCGCAACGGACGCTTCTGACTGGGGTGAGGCTGCTGAGATACCGAATGTTTTGGCTTAAGAGCTTTACCGGCATACTTTGAGAAAGTCAGTTTGGACCAGGCTACTGGCCCCTGCAGATGCTTGGATGCGGAGTCACAGCCTCTTGCCGGCAGCTGCAGAGTTGCCTGACCCTTCTCAAACCTTTTCTGCAAACCCGCTCTGGTCTGTGCTTGCCCGCTGCTTGGACTGCGTGCTTTTATATAAGACTCAAGCTCAGGGACGTAGGCATATTAACATAGGCGAGTTAAGGGGTTTCCTAAAAGCAGAGAAAAAGCTGGGACTGGAGAAAGCCTCTGCCCGACAGTTGTTTGGGCTAGACAGCCAGGTTTGTTTAGGTTGCATCTGCAAGGGACGTTCAGCTTCAGAGAGCCTCAACCAGGAACTTTGCAGGTCCCTTCCAACTATTTTATTTCATGATAGCTACTCTGAATGCATGTATTACCAGAGCGCAGAGAACCCAGCAGATGACCCTACCCGAGGAGTTTGCCTGCGGAAGAAGACCATGGAAACGCCAGACTGGTTTTTAGCTTCATGTACTGGCGACTTTTCTGGGCTCGACAGCTGGCTGGAAGCTCAGGGCATTGGTGATTACCAGCTCACTGGCCTCCCCCCTGTCTCAGAGCTAACACAGCGTGTTTTTGAAAGTTTTCCTTCAGCAGAAATTTCTAGCGGCAGTGAGATGGGTCACACCGCACAGAACAATGATGTCCAGCCTGTTTCAGAAGTTCAGACCGGTTTTGAGAAAGGGAGCAATGCTCCCAATGGTGGTGTTTACAACAAGCCAGCATGTTTGAGTTCTTCAGCTTTTCAGCTGCGTACCGACTGTGCTACTGAGGTATCAAACCGTGCGCCAGGTCAGCTGGCATTCTGCTCCGGAGCTGGCCTTGGAGAGGACTGGCGCTTCACTGGAAGGCGTGGTGTGCTGAGCTCCGCCAACAGTAAGCTGGTTCAGCATCTGTTAAGGCAGTTTAAAAAGGAGCAAGTTGTTTTTGGAGCTGATGAGACGTGGCCTCCTTGCACGGCTGGTTTTTTAGACATGTTTTCTGGCGAGAAAGGGGTTGCAAAAGAATTTGCGAGAGAAACTGGCTGCTGGGTTTTGACCTTCGACATAGAGCATGACGCGTCTGAAGACCTGTCAAACAAAGTGTTGCAAAGACAGATTGAGAGGTTATTTGCTTTGGACGTTTTTCATGGTTGGGGGGCAGCCCCAGTTTGTCAAAGTTTTTCAGTTGCAGTGACTCCTGCCATTCGGAGCCCGGAGCATCCATATGGCAAACCTGATGTCAGCGACCGAGCCCGAGAGAAACTGGAGATGGGTAACCTGTTTGCTAGCTGGCTTTTGTCGCGCATGACGTTGTCACTTTGCTTGGATTTGGTTTTCTGGGTCGAGAACCCGGACCTGAGCTGGATGCTTAGCAAAGCATGAAGACAAGCTGGGTTTTTGGCGGGCAGATTGCTGCCGCTTTGGAACGAGATGGCGAAAGAGAACTAGGTTTTTGAATTTTTGACCAACAGCATCATACAGGGCTTCAAGACTTTTTGTCTAGGAGGGCATTCACACCAGACCTTGAGGGTGCGCTCTAGTTTTCACCGTAAAAGTTGGACTCTGGTTGCTCAGCCATACCCTCAGGGAGTTTGCAGAGCCTTAGCTAGAGCCCTTGCAGCTTCAAGTGGTTTTGCGGAACGCCGTGCCTTTGACCCGGCCAGTTGTGCTAGGTGTTCTCATGCGCGAATTGGAGAAGCAGGGCATCACGGCCCTCCAAAGTCAAGACGGGACGTCCTCCTAGAAGAAGTCCCTCTGGTTGAAGCGAAGACTGCTGCTCTACAAAGCCGGTTTTGGAGCTGGTTTATGAGATGGCTGAATGAACACCTTAGTGCCGATGCTGTCAAGAACTTGGTTGAAAACCTTCTCTTGCTTTGCTACCTTCTTAAGGAGTTTGGAAACCACCTCTTTTCCACTGGCAAGTCGCTGCATGTTTTTAGGCATCTGGTTGTTTTCACTCAGAAGCACTTCCTGGAGACCAGGCAATTTATGTCAATAAGCTGGGATATGATTGCCAGATGGGAACGACTGGAGCCGCCCGTGCATAGAACCCCGATCCCCGCAGCGTAGTTAGAGCCATGGTTGCAGTTGCGTTTTTGCTGCAGTGGCGCCGCTTTGCAGCTTCATTGTGCTTGGCCTTTTTCGGCATCACCAGGCCTGGTGAAGTTCTCAGGGCGAACAGACACGACTTGGTTTTACCCATGGACCTACTGCTGCCTGAGAATGAGATATGCTACCTCAGGGTCGGAGAACCTAAACCTCGACGGAGAGGAAAAGGTAGAACTCAACATGCCACTGTGAAAAATCCGGTTGTGGTTGCGATGCTGTCTGCTGTTTTTGGCGAGATCAGGTCTGACCAGATGCTTTATCCAATTTCGCCGGGGTCCTTCTGGCGGCGTGGGGACTTCATACTAAAGCCCCTGCAAATCCCTGTAGAACTCAAGCTGACGCCTGGTTCTCTCAGAGGAGGAGGTGCTATTGAGGCCTATCGAGCTGTAATAGACCTTACAAAACTCTGTTGGCTGATGCGGCTGAAGAACCTGAAGGAAGTTGCAGCGGACAGTTTCTTAGTGAACCTTAGCACCACCGCAAGGGAGAGAGTGCGAAACTTTTCTGCCATGTTTGAACCCTGCTTAGCAGGTGCCACAGCCCCTAGAGCTCCTGTTTAGGCCAGTATCCTGACGGTTTGGTTGCTGCTCCTCGGATGCTTTGCTCCTCTGGCCCGCTGACATACTTGGATCGTGTGCACACAAAACGTTGGAAAGAATTGCGGCCAGAACGCAATGTTCACTTTCAGAACCTTCGAGCGTGAGCAGCTTACGAAGTTCCCACCAATAGCGAGACGATTGCGCAGTCGGCCAGCCAAGAGAAAAGGGTGCTCCCTTTGAGTGTGCAGGGCAATGAATGCTTGTGTCATGTCCCCCATGACCAATCACGAATGGACCGCAGATTTCAAGGCCCACCGCCTTCTTCTGTCCCACCCAGATCGTGTTCACTTTCAGAACCTTCGAGCGTGAGCAGCTTACGAAGTTCCCACCAATAGCGAGACGATTGCGCAGTCGGCCAGCCAAGAGAAAAGGGTGCTCCCTTTGAGTGTGCAGGGCAATGAATGCTTGTGTCATATATATATATACATATATACACACACACATATATATATATATAAATATAAATATAAATATATATATATATATCTGTGCGCGTGTCCTGACATTCTATCTGACATTCTTTCTGGCGTTCTATCTGGCACCTATTCTGACATACTTTCTGGCACATACTGTATGCTGACATTCTTTCTAGCATTCTGTCTGCATCTATTCTGACATTCGTTCTGACATTCTATTCTGGAGATTCTATCTGGCATCTATTCTGACATTCTATTTTGCCATTCTATCCAACATGCTATTCTGGCATTCTATCTGGCATTTATTTCTGATATTCTCTCTGACTGACATGGGCACCGCCGGATCTCAACCATGAGCGCCAGATCTCAGTGGGCAGCGCGGTTGAGGAGCTGGAGGACGAGGAGAAGGGAGGAGGAGGAGGAGGAGGAGGAGGACGGGATGCACCTTTGATAAAATCTAGTCTTAGAGACCCTCACCCGGCAGGTGGAAAAAATATAAGTTACGCGAAGGGAGGGTGAAACACACCAGCGGGATTTGTAGCAGTCATGTCAACCCCTCTTGTTAGAGAAACAAAAACGTAAGAACCTTGTCATTATAACCATTATATTAACCATTATAACCATTATTAATATATTAACCAATATTATCTCTCAGTAATGGTTCAAAATCTTGTCATTTTCTTTGCATGAGTTGCTGTTTGCTTGGTTTGGGAGCTGTGACAGCGATGAAAGACATCTGTCGAGGCTCATGGATCACAAACTTCACCCAAGGCATGGAGAGACGTAGACTACGTAGACCGATGCGAAGGGAATAATCTCAAGAATATCTCAAGAATTAAATATGAACATATATGAACAACGTTGTTTTCACTGTCACCCTGACATGTATCTGGCCAAGAATGAAGTCAGGGAACTCTAGTGAAAAGGTCCTGTTGTTGATTTGCTAGGAAGAAGAGAGTTCCTGGCAAGTATGAGCCCAACCTCGGCTATTGCGGCATGTCAGGTAAGCCCGAGACAGCCAAATTTGCAGCGGTCGTCAAGGAGTGCTTGCCAATGTGATGCGCTGCCAAAGTTTCTCCCATTCAAGGCAGGCATCATAAGGTCTGGCTGAGGTGCAAGCTTGGTAGCGATGATCCTTGATCCTGAAAGCACAATTAGGAAGGGTGATGACGACGGTGAAATTGAATTACCTGAAATTTGGACTTGGTGCCAAAACAGGTTGTGGAACCAGAATGAATCAGATGGTGCAAGAGGAAAACAATATTTTTTACTTCTAAGCATTTGCGAATTGCCGTCGATCCCCTCTTGTCGGTTCCGAACGCGGCTGCATGGTTTGGCTCAGTTTACTGACTTGATTAGGCGTTGATTGAACGCGCTATGCCAAGAGGATGCTTCGCGGCCCATCGTGTGGCTGTGAAAGATGAAGTTGGTGTGGTCAGCAGTGCTAATGATGATACAGCGCTTGTGATGGCGAAGGACAAGGTGTTCTTCAGCCTGGGACCTCTGTTGGGTGCTGGTGCTAGTTCTTGCGTCCATGCTGTGGCGGCCAAAACCTTTGCAACAGACGATGCGCAAAGAGCAAGCAGCCTCCGGGGCACTGGTGGTTTTGCGGCGAAGTTTTTCCGCCGAGACAAAAATCCACAGCTAACAGCCCTGGAAAGAGAGATCAAGATTCTGGCAACGTTGCCCGAGAGTCCGTACATTGTTGGTTTCCACGGCCAGTTCTCGGTCAAAAAAGACGACCCTGCCCTACAAGAGGTTGCCAAAAATCTCCTTCCCAAGAGGCGTGATTCAAAGGATTTGGAGGATCACTCATTGGCGGAGAGAGCAGAGACTATTTCCGTCATACTGGTCGACAGGCACGAAGATTTGACTTTTTCCAGCTTTTTTTGCTTCTTTCCCCAGAAGCTCAAAGCATTCCAAATGGTCATCATGGGGGAATTTGGGGATTTTAGATCATGATCTGTATGTTTTCACACACATTTGAAACATGTACGTCCCTGGCAGGTGTGATTGCACCTTGACTAGCATGATTCAGAAGACTGCGCTCCCAGAATCACATTCTGCCTTTACAATGGATGGGCTCCTGCGTGGTATAGCTCATTTGCATGCCCAGAGAATTGTCCACCGAAGCTCGGTCATGTTTTGGGGGGCCAAAATTATTCAAGCGATTGGTCGTTCTAGATGGGGAAACCAATGGTTTTGGGTCATGTGGTAAACCCAATAGTAAACCATCCGCAATATTACCAGAAACGGTTTGTACATATCATCCCGAACTGCTACATGTTAAGTTTTATGGCGTTGTTTACCAAATTACTCGTATTTTGCTTTACTGTTCTTGCTGCAATGAGTGCAGCTGAGGTGATATCAAGGATGTCAACGTCCTGATTGCAGACTCAGGCTGCATGGCTATCATGATCCATCATGATCCGTGTTTTTTCATTGAGTGCAGCTCACCTTCAACTGTAAACAAATAGGGATACAAACCTGGTAGGGAACGCGTCTTAACGTAGAATTGCTTCCTGTCCCAAAAGGGGCCTGATGATATGGCATGCCCCAAACTGAAAGAGTGCTTGCGCAATGGCATTCCCTTATTGCAAATGAAGATGAGAAGCTTCTCAGGCGATGCATTTACTGAGTTCCATCGGCACACTTGCAGCCATTCTCACCTCAGGATATTTATCAGAATTCAAAGAAGCCTAGTTCACCCCATCACAGAAGTCCTCTGTGCAGCTCCAGAAATCATGCTCTTGCAGAAACATTCCTGATATTGATGTCAGAGAACCGCCGAGTATCATTCAAACAGTCCTAAGGGAACGGTGCCAGTGCCTCGGTTGTGCACGCGAAATCCGACTCAGTTGCGCATGCTAAAAAACACTTCAGTTGTGCACGCAGAAGATGATGATGATGATGATGATGATGACGATGTGCACGCGGAGGATGATGATGATGATGATGATGATGGTGATGGTGATGGTGATGGTGATGATGATGGTGATGATGATGATGACGATGTGCACGCGGATGATGATGATGATGATGATGATGATGATGATGATGATGATGATGATGATGATGATGATGATGATGATGATGCCGATGACGACGATGACAACGACGATAAGGATGATGATGATGATGTGGATGATGATGTGCACGCGGATGATGATGATGATGATGGTGATGATGATGATGATGATGATGATGTGCACGCGGATGATGATGATGATGATGATGATGGTGATGATGATGATGACAATGATGATCATCAGGATGATCATCATGATGATCGTGAAGACCATGAGAGTGAAAATGGTGAAAATGGGGATGGCGAGCTTGGTGCTCTTGTTGCTGATCACCTCACATCCTTCGTTGCACGCTGACTGCTGGGTTATATAATGTTATATATATATATATGTTTGGTTTTTATTCTCTGATTCGGACGAAGGCCATGTGGACTTGGGTTTTGAAACTTGTTGAGCTGTATCGGTTTGTGAGACTATAGCTGGCAACGGGTGTGGCTGGTAGATCCTACCCTTTTCTTAATTTTCTTCCCTAGCATCACCCCACCCCCCAAGGTTGTGTGTACAAGTGAGTCAATTTTATGTGCGCAAGTAAGGCGCCGACCTCCTAAGGTCGCAGGGTCTGCCTGTGCGACTTTGACTTGGCAACTTACATTCCGGAAGACGCAGAGGTCATCGAATGGACAGGTGGAACACCTGGATATATGGCACCGGAAGTTTGCAACTACGGCAACTTGGCGCAGCTGCGATTTGGCAGGGTTTGGAGGGATCCTCTTGGTAAACATCCCCAATACGGCTGCCTGTTTCACTAAGACACTCTGCAGTTTGTCACGGTGTCACGGCCATGCTACGACTGAGTGGAATTTCGAGGTACGTAGTCTGAAAGCTGCTTTCCATCTCCTTTGCAATTTGCACAAAAATTTCACACTTCCTTTCCAGAATTTCACAATCTAACTTTCTTCTCACTCCAAACTTTAGTTTCATCTCATGGCATGTACTTTATTCTCTTTCTCCGTAGAGGTCAGCATGCGTCCCTCTGCTCTCCCTGAGGCAAGGCATCCTTCTCGGCAGACTTGTTCAGTGCAGGAGTTGTGCTACATGTCCTTCTAACAAGGACTGACTTTGAAAGTTGCGTTGAGTGTGGACACGTTGTGGGGGGGTTAACGTATGTACTTCATACAAATATGGGAGCTCTGAGGTGATCTTGACCCATCTTGACCTCTAGCCGCTTTGGCCCTGTCAGGAGCAATCCCTTTCTTCCAGAGCATGCGGGGCTCAAAGTGCAGGGCAGCTCGCCGATGGACTATGACATGCTTCGCCTTTTCCGGAGCGAAGCCAGCTGCAATCTTCTCTATGCCCTGTTGGAGATTGATCCAGAGATGCGACCAAATATCACAGAGAGCTTGGAGTATTCTTGGTTTTTTGAGCTTGCTTCTTGGTGAATATTGAACTGGTGACAAGGTATCTATCTGATTCTCATGGCCCCTGCCTTTTGCAGGCAACAGGTGCCAGGCTGACCAATCACCCCACACAACCCCCAAATGGACGGTAGAAACAGAGACTCAACCTCTACATACCTCTACAACAGCTCTCAGAAAGAGACAAGGCCGATGCTAATGTCCAATCTGACTACAAACTGCAGTGGACAAGGCCAATCTGATCTTTGGGACGGCCCAGTTGCCCGATCAGGTTCCACAATCTCTGTGCAAGTTGCTTGCAGACGCTGATCGGCTGTTGCAGAGTTGTCACTTGGACAGCCTCGTGTTGGCATCCTTTGATTGAAATTGACTGACACTAAGCATGCAAAGGAACTTCAAATTGCTTCATTCATTTTATTTTCCTTCGTCCCTGATGTAGATCCGATCGGGTTCAAGTTTCAGAGCCTTTTGCCATCTTGGACCGGCTTGCTTCCCAGGTGATCACTCACAACGAACTGAAGGAAGCAAGGCCACCAAAAAGTACGGAATCTTTACGACTCGCAGCAAGGCGCCACAGAATTTTCAGGGTCAAGTGGCTGGACAGCCCTGGAGCTTGAACCCGCACCCTCCGCTGTGCTCAAACACCTTGCTGGAAAATCCTTTATTTTGTTCGATGACTTTCCCCATGCCATGAACATCTCCATTTATAGATTTTATAGGGGATTTCCCAGCCATGTTTGATGAATTAAAGGTAGGCCATGTTTGACCCCTGGGCTGGCGTTGAAGGGAGCAGATGCCCTGGCAGCCATTTCCAAGCCCAATATCATTTTGCCATCAACATAGGGCTGAGACTCTTCTTGGGCATTACATAGTACAAAATAGCTGAATAAATAATAACTGTAATTAAATAAGTACATGTATGTATGTGTGTATGTATATATATATATATATATGCTGACACTACTGTCTACCTTGGTGGAGCTGTTATTTTTTCACTCGCCTTTAGCTTAGCTGAATTCTTCGAGAAGGCGATGAAGAGAGAGAGAGAGAGAGTTTTTTTTTTAATATATATATATACACACACACATTTGGCTTCTTTGGGGCGTCCTTATAGGACGGCTGCGGACAGTCACGCCCGACAGAGAGAGAAAGAGATATATATATATGTGTAATAAAATAAAATAAAATATAATATAATATAATATAATATTAAATTATGTTATATTATATTATATTTTATTATATTAGATTAGATTATATTATATTATATTATGTTATATTGTATTAATACGCATGTTTTTAAATGTTACACAGTAAACATAATATAACATAATACAACCTAGTAAAATCACAGTTGCCATTGGATCACACAAGGGGAACTTGGCGCAGCCGCAACGCATGTCAGCCGTTCCTGTGGAGGCGGAGGGCGCGAGCGTTTTGAAGTCTCCACTGTCTCCACCTCCATCTGGAAGCAGAACGACAGTCTCAGTGTCATCGGTGTTGAGTCGCATGGGAACTGCTGCCAGGACTTCGACTTCATTTTATATTAAGTATAAATAAATATGAATATAATTATAATTATAAATATGAATATATATGTATATATATATATACTATATTGTATATTTCTCAATTATCAGTTGCCCTCGTTGAACACAACTTGATGTGAGTCTTTCCATGGCCTATTTGCTGATGCAATGAATCTCCCATGTATCTGTGACAACATCTGCTGGATGTCACTCCACTGCGATGATGTCACGCGTGGTCCTCATCGCCTACAAGACTATCTCTACCTATTATATACTTATCTTACTTTGCTGTTCTGTAGGCTTCATTCACTCATTCATCATCATGAATCATGCAGGTAGACCCGGGTTTCAAGGCGATGTGTTGTTTTGTGGCTCAGTGAATAGTTTGATTATGTTTGGTCGATCGATGTTGACCAATTGATCCTCATTCTTCCCATGAAATGAAACTTGCCAGAAAGTGAGGTATTTGCATCCAGACCTCCCAGCAAACATGTGCTTGCTAGCGGCTAGTTCACAATGGGTTACTAGTATGGTTACATGATGTGAAGCATGTTAAA